TTTGCGACTGTCGAGTATAGTACTAACCTATATATAATTGGTAAATACTATAATGAAAAATCAGAATTCATAAAATTTTAAATGTTTGAGTAAAAACTTAACAATTTTATACTAATGATTTTATTAATACTAACAATTTTATTAATACTGACATTTTATTAATTTATTAATATTAATGATTTTATTAATTTATTAATACTGCTAATTTTATATTACTACTAATTTTATTAATACTAACATTTTATCAATTATTTAATATTAACAATTTTATTAATTTATTAATACTGCTGATTTTATATTACTATTAATTTATTAATTTTAACAATTTTATTAATTTTAACGATTTTATTAATTTTAACGATTTTATTAATTTTAACGATTTTATTAATTTATTAATACTGCCGATTTTATATTACTAACAATTTTTTTAATACGTACTAACAATTTTTTTAATTTATTAATACTGTAATTTATTAATACTAATGATTTTAATAATATTAATTTATTTAAACTAACAATTTTATAGTAAGAAAAACATTAGACGAGAATGCAAAAAAGATCTCAACTACACAACAAACAAGGAAACAATTTTATGATGATATTGAGTTCTTTTATGATGCATCTAGGCCAGACAACCTGCCAGATTGGGCTTATGTATCTGATGAAGAAGAAGTTGCAAAAGAATGAATAAAGAACGAAAAGATAAGGATAAGGGAAAAGAAAAAAGTAAAAAAACAGAAAAAAGAAAAGAAAAAGAAGTTGCTCCTGGGACCAAAAGACCAATGAAAAAACCTCAAATTCAAAGTAAAGACTATGATAAAGTAGTTTTGTATTCAAAAAAGAGAGAGCTCAAAACTGACAAAAGTACGAAAATAGGTAAAATTTGTAGTGCTTTAGCAGATACTATACAATACAACTTGATAGATGAAGAGTCTCAGAAAGTGGCATCTAAGTAAAAGATCATTTTTTTGAGGTGGGTAGGCGGGATTTTTTAAGAAAATCAGTTTTTTGAAAAATTTTTTTTTTAAATTCATTTTTTTTAACATGTTTTTTTGCTATAATTGTTGCTATTATTTTGCTATTATTATGACTATTTTCTATTATTTCTTTATTGCTTGACTTTATATAATTTTAAATAAAATAATGAATATATAATAATGAATTTTATGACAATTTTAATTGATAATTAATTAATAAAATTGCAATAATTTTAATGCCGATTGATAATCAAAATATATAATTTAACGATTTAAACCAAATATTATTCGAATTGTAAATTTTAATAAACCGATTTCTATTGATTAATAGCTAATTTTAATATTTTAATAACCGATTTTTATGGCTAATTAACAAATTATTTCAATTTATTTATGAATATTTAATATGCTTTTTTATTTACTAAATATGATTTATGATTAATTTACTTACAAATATCATTATAGCTGATTTTAAGTGATTTTATATCAATTTTATTAATTGACGATTAACTGCCAAGTGGTGGCGATTGCTACCAATCAGCAATAAATTGTCAATTAATAAAAATAATAAAAATCATCTATTAATTAGCCTATTTGCATATATCTTTCATTATAACAAATAGCAGTATTTCGACTAGTGTGTTAGTATAATATACAAATGCAAAGTTTTTATATATAGCGATAACACTATAGATTTACTATAGATCCAGTACTGATTCATTTGCATATATGACCCGTATTTTTTATAATTACCCTGGTTGATCTCTGAGTTATACTGATATTTTATATTAAAAATTTGAAAATATAAAGATTTTGTTATAATGTGTTATATCCAGATGTTGGTATAACCCAAGTAGCATGTAAAAATATTTATTATCTTTATCTAGAGGTATTGTAGATTTTATAGATCGAGCCTACAAATTCTATCAACTAGGTGAGTACTAGTTAGTCCAAAAATACCCCATAATAGTCACAACCCATTATTTATACAAAATTCATAAATCTCTTTTACAGTACGTGATCTAATATCTGCTAATGATATAGTCTCTCCTTGGGCATTAATAGGTATTAAGGGGTGTAAATCATAATGATTTTTTATAAGTTTTAAAATT